ATAAAATTGATAGGCATTATTTCTATTTAATATAAAAATTTATATAAAATTAATTATAAATTTTATAATTAATAAAACATACATGTACATTCAAGATATCAGTTAAAGGAATTTCACCAAGCGGCCCAATGACTGCGCGTCTCATTGAGGCAGGTGAATTGTTCACCAAGTTTAGGGATCGAATCTCAATAGTTAACATCTAACCAGTGGCGGATCCAAGGGGGTGCGAGGGGGGGCGCTCGCCCCCTGAAATTTGAAAATCTTACAAATTAGTATATAATTAGTATATAAAAAATTATCTAACCCCTCCTAAACTTTAAAAATTTTAACATCTTGCCCCCTTAAAAAAATTTCTACCTCCGCCCTGCATCTAATTATACTAACCTATTAATTATTATCTTTATAAAAAAAATACCAGTTAAAGTTATAATAACCGTTTAATCTGTGAGATTAACAGAACATGGTGGCCTGACATGTATTCATGCCTCATCATTGATGGAACCATGTGCAGTCGAGTCATCACTCTGCCCCAAAAAAGAAACACCCAAACAAATTTTTCGTAACACGTGGTTGAATTTCAAGAATCCAAAACCAAACTTTTATTCCAACACCGAGTCATGCGAACGGTTATTACGGTTAAAACTTTTGAAAGCTTAAGGAGTAGTGTAAATTATGGGCGCTCTTTGGCCTTTACCCATCTTTCCATGTTCTCTTTATCGAATAGCGAACCTTCCACGCACGCTTTTAAAGAGACCTTTCGCACGTGCTGGGCCACCACTGAGGATTATGGTACCCCTCAAGATTTGAACGTGGCAGCCCAATAGCCCACTCTTAGATCCAGGTGTTCGCATCACAGCGTTAAGCATCCTCTCCTTCCCTTTCCCTTTCCCTTTATTATATCCACCCATCCTTCTCTTTTACTCTCTTTGTGTTACCTCAAAACGACCCGCGACCCGCGACCCGAATCATTCTATCCAGACCGAAAAAATTGATCTCCGGCGAGATTGATGCGGCGGTAGAATAGAGGTTAATTTTTCGGCCATGGAGACGGGGAGTCCTGCGAATTATACTTATATGGGGAGGAGCTTTGGGGATTTGAGTGTCAACGATGATTCTTCTGCTTTTAGTGAATGTAATAGTGATAGATCCGGGGAGTTTCCCACGGCGTCGTCTCAGAATCGGCGATTGTTGCTGGCATGTGCTTCGGAGAATTCCGATGATCTGATTCGGCAACTCGTTTTGGATCTTGAATCGTGTTCGATTGACGAGCAAAAGCAGGCGGCTATGGAGATTAGACTTCTGGCCAAGAACAAATCAGAGAATCGAATCAAGATTGCCAAAGCCGGTGCGATTAAGCCGCTGATTGCGCTAATCTCCTCCTCCGATCCTCAGCTTCAGGAGAACGGAGTCACGGCAATTTTGAATCTCTCGCTTTGCGACGAGAACAAAGAATTAATTGCCTCCGCTGGAGCCATCAAGCCGCTGGTTAGGGCTTTGAGAGGAGGGACTTCTACGGCGAAAGAGAACGCGGCTTGTGCTCTGCTTCGCCTCTCTCAAGTAGAAGAGAACAAGGTGGCAATCGGACGGTCGGGAGCAATTCCGCTCCTAGTGAACCTCCTAGGGAACGGTGGATTTCGCGGGAAAAAAGACGCATCGACAGCTCTGTATTCATTGTGCTCTGTCAAAGAAAACAAGATCAGAGCCGTCCACGCCGGGATCATGAAGCCGTTAGTGGAATTAATGGCGGATTTCGGGTCAAACATGGTCGATAAATCGGCTTACGTTCTGAGCATACTTGTATCGGTACCGGAGGCCAAAACGGCGTTGGTGGATGAAGGGGGGATTCCCGTTCTGGTGGAAATCATTGAGGTCGGGTCACAACGCCAGAAGGAGGTCGCGGCGGCGGTCTTATTGCAGATTTGCGAGGACAGCTTGGTGTACCGTACTATGGTGTCCCGCGAAGGAGCGATTCCGCCGTTGGTGGCTTTGTCTCAATCCGGCACCAATCGCGCCAAACAGAAGGTGAGTGAATTCAGAACTCCGTCGGCGACTCTCGTCATACCGGCTGACGTAGCAGGCCATTTTTATGTCTCTGTTTGAGCAACGACGGCAGTGCACAGTGTCCTACCACGTCAGCCGAAATTACCCTGCCCTTTATTTAAAAATCAAAAAGAAAAATGTAAAAAAAAAAAAAAAACACAAACTTTACATTTTATTTTTAGTTCTCTGTAATTGATTTATCGTGGCTAATGGGATTGTCGTTTTGTGTGTAATTTTGTGGACAGGCGGAGGCACTGATAGAGCTTCTGCGGCAACCAAGATCCGGCAACGGCGCTGCCAGAGCATCTGATGTATCAGTGTAATGGAACCCATATTTCCACGTAGTCGGACAGTCAAACATAGGAATATTTTACACACAGAAAAAGAAAAAAAAAAAAGAAGAAAAAGAATTGTAAAAAAAAAAAAAAAAAAAGAAGAAAAAGAATTGTAAATATCTCTGTTGCAGAGCTTTGTCCAAGTTGTGATAAAACATTGCGTTTGGTTTTGGATTTGATTTTGGTTTATTTAATATAATTTCATTTTCTCAGTATTTATTTATAATAGCGAGATGATTAATAAAAGAGTTTTTTTTGGGTTGATTAATAATAAAAGAGTTGCATAATCAAAGAAGTGTTGTGGAAGTGTCGCTGCGGGTGCCTTGGTTGATAATGAAACCTTCGTTTCATTTGTTTGTGTTGTTTCGTGGTGTGTTGAATTTTATCATATTCTAGAATTTTAAATTA